GCGTGTCAGACAGATAGAGAGGAGCGCACTCCGCCGCCCCGCCCCACCCCGGTCCCCGCGTGTTCCTCCGCTCCCACGGCCCGCGGCGCGGCTCCGGCAGAGCAGGTGGGGCCGGGTCTCCCGCGGGCCAGTCGGAGAGCGCAGTCCCTGCTCCGAGGCGTGGAGAGGAGGATGGCGGCTCCGAGCCGGCGGCCTCTCCGCGGGGGCGCGGCCCGCCCTCGGCCCGCTTGCAGCCGGAGGAATTGGGGATGCGATTTGTATTCTGAGACCGGGGGAGAGCCCTGGAACGGGTACCCCTTGGCCCGAGAGCGAGTTTTGATATAAATTAGTGGTGGGAGGAAAGCTTTAATGGTCTCGTGTTCAGGTTCAGTAGAAACCTTTGATCCCTCGGTGTCCTCGCTGCTTTGTGGTGATGCCAGGGATGCGTGCGCCCGGCCTGGGGCCGCCGCCACCGCCGGAGGTTTAGGTTTTGAAATGTTTTGAAGTGAGGAGAGCCAGCCTGTTCCTGAGCTGTTTGTGTGTTTAGAAGTTGCTCTGTTGGATTGTAGTTTTTCAGAAACCAACTCTTACATCTACACTACCTTGACTTTGTTCATTCACTGCACCTGCATTTCCATCTTAGGTACAGGAAGGAAGAATGGAATCGGAAGGAAGAAAATTCATTTCAGAGACAAAATAGCTCCCCTCCTCTGTTATAGCTGTTTCCCTGGCAATACAAACTTCCCGCTTCAGTGAGTATTACCTTGGATGTTTAGAATAGAAGTTCATTGTTTGTTTTAGGCCTGTGTTAGGACTTTAGGGTATAGATTTTACTTTGTTTACTTGATTTTTCTACTTCCATGTGGGGGTCTTAATGTTGAAGTTCTTTCCACTTGCTCTCTTTTAAAATATGTAAAGACAAGTTTATTGTTCATAATCCCAGTAGAGTGACCTAGGTGGTGGTACATGTAGTATTAATTACACTTACCCTCTTTGTCTTAATACATAAGTCTGGCTCTGTCCCTTCACAAATTACTCTTTTTAAAAAAACAAACAAAGAGCATAACAGTGCAGTTCCTATCAAGGTCAGTTATAGGGTCTCTTCCATACAGTTAGAGTGTTCAGAGATTTTTGGAACATTTTGCCCTAAATCTGTTATGGTGATGGTGATGCTATTATCTTGAAAATAATTAAAATCCTACATGAAAACAAAATTCTGGGGAAAAAATTATTACTGATTTTTAGAGGAGTGGGGAGAGGGAAACATTGATTGGTTGCCTCCTGTACTCACCCTGACCAGGAGTCGAACCTGCATCCTTTTGGTACATGAGTCAATGCTCCAACTTAGGGAGCCACCCAGCCAGGGCTTCCTTTGAGTTTATTTTATTTTATTTTTTAATATGTTTTTATTGATATCAGAGAGGAAAGGAGAGGGAAAGAGAGATAGAAACATCAGTGATGAGAGAGAATCATTGATTAGCTGCCTCCTGCATGCCCCACACTGGGGATTGAGTCCATAACCCAGGCCTGTGCCCTGACCTGAAATCGAACCATGACCTGGTTCATAGGTCGATGCTCAACTACTGAGCCACGCTGGCTGGGCCCTTCGAGTTTATTAATAATGGTACGCAAATACTTTAGAGAGTTTTTCATAGTGCTTCGCGTCTTTTTTATTTTTATATTTTGGTTAATCCTCACGCGAGGATATTTTTCGAATGATTTTCAGAGAGAGTGGAAGGGAGGGGGAGAGACAGAGAGAAACATCAATGTGAGGGCATCAATATCTCACATCAATTAATTGCCTCCCGCATGCGCCCTACCAGGATCAGGATCGAGCCTGCGACCATGGTATGTGCCCTTAACTGGAATCAAACCCGGGACCCTTCAGTCTGCAAACTGAGGCTTTATCTACTGAGCCAAACCAGTGAGGGCATGGTTTACATATTATTGGAGCCTCACAAACCTTTTGTAAGGGAGGTAGGGAACAAATATTTTCATTTTACAAATGAAAGAACTGAAGCCCAGCCCTAGCTGGTTTGGCTCAGTGGATAGAGTGTCAGCCTGCGGACTGAAGGGTCCTGGGTACAATTCCCGTCAATGGCACATGCCTGGATGTGGGCTCAAACCCCAGTGTGGGGTGTGCAGGAGGCAGCCAATCAATGATTCTCTCTCATCATTGATGTTTCTATCTCTCCCTCTCCCTTCCTCTCTGAAATCAATAAAAATATATTTAAAAAAAAAACGTTTTTATTGATTTCAGAGAGGAAGGGAGAGGGAGAGATAGAAACATCAATAATGAGAGAGAATCATCTATCAGCTGCCTCCTGCACGCCCTCTACTGGTGATTGAGACCGCAACCCAGGCATGTGCCCTTGACAGGAATTGTACCCAGGACTCTTCAGTCCCCAGGCCGATGCTCTATCCACTGAGCCAAACCAGCTAGGGCAATAAAAACATACTTTAAAAAAAAAAAAAGGAAAGAAAGAACTCAAGCCCAGAAAAATCTGGCACATAGTAAAGGGAAGGGATCTAAAAACAAAATAGAACTTTTGACTCCTATATTTATGTTTTTTCTTTTAAGTTAACATGAAAATGTATAGTTCTGTGAAGTTTTCTAAGTCTAACTTTTAATTATATAGGTAAATCTATATTTTGCAGGGAAATTTTTCACACAGCAAGTATTTTGTTTATGATGTGTGTGCTGGGGTTTCAAAAATATGCAAATGATTATTTGAAATGATTACCAGAATGTTTGTGGGTTTTTCATTTGACTATTGTTTGGAATAGTTCCATAAGTCAGCCAGAGTTGTATCTCAGGTGCCACTTCACTACTCATGTAATACAGTTTTTATTTAACTCTCTCTCTGACACACAAAGGAAACAGTCTATGCCCTTCTGTATTAAAGCTTGATTTGAACAGTCACCTGTATACTAATAAGAGAAAAAAATGCAGAGACCTCGTTTTTCTTAGCCTCTTCCCTACTCCTACTACAAATATTTCCTGTAGTAAAGTGATGCCCCCTAGTTAACTGTTCTGAGGCTTGTCTTCAAAAGGTGAAACCTGATTTTTTTTTTCCCACCTCCAGGCTTTTCTAGATATTTTAATCTGATTGTTTTTTGAAATCTAACTTTGATGGAGTAGTTCTATCAGTACTCAATATATATGAAGACTTCCATAATAATAGCATATCTAGCAAGTTTAGTTTCTTTTTAGTATAAACTTAAGAGGAGCCAGATAGAATAGAACTGTATACAGCTCTCCTTCAGCCCAATAGTCATTTTTTTTTTTTTGCACTCACAGTGAGAAGAACAGTGGGTGGTTTATTAGAAATCGTTGCTCTTCCAGGAGGGAAGCATTATGGTCATTGGAATAATAATCACAGATTAATATTATAATATTTTAAACTACAAGGTGGTGCTTTTTTTTTTAATTCTTTATTATTTAAAGTATTACATGAGTCTCTTTTTTTCCCCCATTGACCTCTCCCCCGCCACCCCCTCCCACACAAGGTAGTTCTTAATAGCATTTTATTATGAAGGCACTTATTTCTTTTTTCTTTTTTTTTTTAATATATTTTATTGATTTTTTACAGAGAGGAAAGGAGAGGGATAGAGAGTTAGAAACATTGATGAGAGAGAAACATCGATCAGCTGCCTCCTGCACACCTCCTACTGGGGATGTGCCCGCAAACAAGGTACATGCCCTTGACCGGAATCGAACCTGGGACCCTTGAGTCCGCAGGCTGACACTCTATCCATTGAGCCAAACCAGTTAGGGCTGAAGGCACTTATTTCTGTAGAAATGGTAAGAATTCAGAGCTATGTTGTTTTTGGAACCGACCCTACTTTTGTTAATAGAGGCACTGGCAGTATTGGTTATAGCAGGTACTCTAATAAATAGTAGTTATAAGTCAAAGAACTGCTAAATGCTCTTCATGTGTTACTCATTGACTACTCACAAGTAACTCTGTGGGGTAGCAGAAGCCCAAGGCCATACAGATGTGGCAGCCTGCCTGAGTGCATCGCCAGTATGTGGCAAATCATAGTTGGGATTTGAGCCTGGACTGTAACCCCAAAGCCTAGGTTCTGTCCTCTGAAGATGGGAACTGGCAGTGTCAGCTTATCGTTTGCAGTGATTTAGGAGTATTGGGAGAGGAAGGCCACTTCAGTCAGGGTGTCCTCCCCTCAGTACTGGTCTTTATACCTTGTTTGTAAACATCAGCAATTTATAAGACAACATTTGTATTAGCTCCTGAAATCATAAATTGCCCTTCAGGCAAATAAAAGTGCCCCATCAATTCAAAAAGAAAGAAAATTCTTCTCAAGTGCAGTTTAAAAAGTAGGTATGGTCTTCCCAAGGAAAGCCTCGAGCAACCTAAAGTTAATATCAGCTGAGGCTAAGTTCAGGATTGACCAGTTACTGATGTGTTTTAGCAAAGAAGACAGCTACTAGCATAAATCAAACCATGAAGTTCATGTAGGGGATATTTCACCTAACTTTTGAATGAATTGTCCACATTGGCTATCCATTTTCCTATGAATTAAACCATTCCTAGGTTTGGGCTGAATAGAGTTAACATTGTTGATAAGAATAAATACTTAGAATTTAGCTCCAGTTTCTGACACACTCTCCAGTTAGCATCAGGATGGAACCAAGTATTTAAATATTAGGTTGTGCCATAAACATCCTATATAATAAAAGCCTAATATGTTAAGTGTCCGGTCGGCTGTTCAATCAAAGCGTAATATGCTAATGATAGGCTAAGGCCGCTCAGCCACTCGCTATGATGTGCACTGACCACCAGGGGGCAGACTTTTGGCCGATTGACCAGCTGCTATGACATGCGCTGACCACCAGGGGGCAGACTCTCCTACCAGTAGGGTAACTTGCTGCTGGGGTCCTGTTGATCAGGATTGAGTGAGACTGGCCAAACACGCCCTGGAGCCCTCCCGCGTCCCTCCCCGGCCTGATCATGCACTGGTGGGGTCCTTCGGCCTGGCCTGCGCCCTCATGCAATCCAGGACCCCTCGCGGGATGTCGGAGGGCCAGTTTCTCCTGATCCCGCAGACATAGCTGAGGGACGCCACTGGTGCATGAATTCATGCACTGAGCCTCTAGTTCTTCTTATAAAAAGGCAAACTTAAATGAAATCAACTAGGAAATCTGTAGATAAGATGGCTGGTGTGTATACCATATGCAGGGCACCAGATTAGGTGTAGTGAAAGGTAAAGGCATCCAGCCCTGAGACTCAGGGTGAGGGTGGCTGCAGGGCTGGCTGGGACTGAAGTGACGGTAGAATCCTGCCCGCTTCCCCACAGGAAGGGAGGAGGAGTTGCCAGCTGGCCTGTTGTGGACCCCAAGGAAGGTGTGATGACTCTTCAGCACTGAGAACATATTTATTTGACAGTTGCTAAGTTAGGAGGTGAAACAGTCATTCCTTTTATTTCCTCCAGCTTTTTGTAGAAGTACAACTTTGTCTCCATCTGGTGGAAATCCATTTTACCTAGTTCATTCTCATTGATATATAGTGAACAGAGGAAAATGAGATCACTACTACTGGCTCTTATAGTGGCCCTTGAGTTTAGCTTTTTGTTTTTTAATGTTTTTATTGATATATTGATTTACTTATTAGAGAGAGAGGGAAAGAAAGAGATAGAAACATCCATGGGCTGCCTCCTGCATATCCCCTACTGGGAATCAAGCCAGCAACCCAGGCATGTGCCCTGAACAGGAATCAAACCTGAGACCTGTTGGAGTGCCTGGGTCGGTGTTCAACCACTGAGCCACTGGACTGGGTGAGTTTAGTTTTGAAAGTAACCAACTGAAAGCTTGAGAGGGTCTCAGTGACATAATGTGTCTATAAAGCAAGGATTTTTACACTTGATTCCACTTATTTCAGATGAACTGACTTTGCAGTAACTATTCAGTTACTCCTACTAGGATCAAAGTACCATTTTTGCTAGTTTTTATGAGGTTTTGAGGAAGAGTAAGAAATTCCCACATTGTTTTAGAAGAAATGTTGAGTATATCTTTAGGGGTTTTTGTTTGTTTATTTTGTTTTGCGCTGTTATTCTGAGATATCTTACACTGTACTCTCAGGTGCCAAGCTTTTGGAGAAATGAGTGTCTGCTTATTGTAGGGTGGTCCTGGAAGCTGAGTCTGGGACTACTTGGTTGTGGTGAGATGCCTGCTTTGTTGGAGTAGGATTAGAAGAGTCTCTAACTAAAGAGAAAGTTTTGATGAAATTGGTGGATAGGGGTTAATGTAATAAATAAAAGTATTTCCTACCAGCACCCTGTTTTACTTAGCGTTCTTTTTCTTTTTACTTACTGATTTTTAGAAAGAGAAATGTGGATTTGTTGTTCCACTTATCCGTGCATGTACTGGCTGTTTTCTTGTATGTGCTGTGGCTGGGGATCGAACCCACAACTTTGGAGCATCAGGACATCTCTTCAACCAACTGAGCCACCGGGCCAGGGTTACTTAATATTCTTTATTGTAGTTCACTTAATATTTGCTTTATACTGAAAGATAAGTAAAATGTTGGCCCCCTTAAAAACATGCCTTCAAAATAATTCCGTGAAGGAGGGGAACTGGAGTGAGTATGTAGGCTATCCTATATAATAAAAGCCTAATATGCTAAGTGTACGGTCGCCCAGTTTGCCATTCAACCAATCAAAGCATAATATGCTAATGATATGCTAGGACCGCTCAACTGCTCGCTATGACATGCACTGACCACCAGGGGTCAGAGGCTCCAACTGGTAGGTTAGCTTGCTGCTGAGGTCCAGCCAATCAGGACTGAGCAAGACAAGCCGGACACGCCCTCGAGCCCTCCTGCAGTCCCTTCCCGGCTGGCCAACCTCCCATGTCCCTCCCCAGCCCCGATTATGCACCGGTGGGGTCCCTCTGCCTGGCCTGTGCCCTCTTGCAATCTGGGACCCCTTGGGGGATGTCAGAGAGCCATTTTCCACCTGACGGTGGAACAACCGGGCGCTATGACATGCACTGACCACCGGGGGCAGATGCTCAACTCAGGAGCTGCCCCCTGGTGGTCAGTGCACTCAGCCAGAAGCCAGACTTATGGCTGGCAGCGGCGGTGGCAGGAGCCTCTTCCACCTCTGTGGCAGTGCTAAGGATGTCCGACTGATGGCTTAGGCCCGCTCCCCTGTAAGTTGGACATCCCCCAAGGCTCCCGGACTGTGAGAGGGTGCAGGCTGGGCTGTGGGACCCCCACCCCCTGAGTGCACGAATTTCATGCACTGGGCCTCTAGTAGATGAAATAAGATTGGCCATACCCCCCAGCTGGTGTGGTTCAGTTGGTTGAGGGGCATCCCATGCTCCAAGAGGTCTCCAATTTGATTCCTGGTCACTGCACATGCCTGGGATTCGAATTTTGGGCTCGATTCCCAGTAGGGGGTATGCAGAAGGTAGCCAATCAACGTTACTCTCTCATCGATGTTTCTGCCCCTCCCTCCCTTTCCTTTCCTCTCTTGGAAATCAACAAAAACATTTTAAAAAAAGAAAAATGATTGGCCATATGTTAAAAATTATTAAGGCTGGATATTGGGTTTGTTAAGCTGTTTTGTTTATGTTTTGAATTTTCCATAGATTTAATTTTATAGAATAAATTTTTTAAGTAGTGCCTTCTAATATATCTTTGATGCAGAGTTCATTTATTTACTGGCTGTTTTCTCTCATATGCCCTGGACATGTACCAATTGAACCCACAACTTTGGAGCATCAGGACAACTCTCCAACCAACTGAGCCACCGGGCCAGTGCTACTTAACATTCTTTATTGTAGTTCACTTAATATTTGCTTTATGCTGAAAGAGAAAGTGCTGCCTTTGGTCACTACTTGAGAATATCGATTGAATTATTTGCTTAATGGCCTCCCAAGAAATGCTTGGGCCTAAAGAGTCACAAGATTTAGGTTGGTTCTCTTGATTTCAAATTGTAGCTTGGGAGGGTGTGGGGGAATTGTTAAATGTAGTCTGTTGTGTTTGTTCCCACTGCAGATCAGTGGTTGTACTTTGTGTGTAGGCAGAATATTCCGAAAATTCATTTCTTCTGCCTTGATGTGGTGTGAAATCTCTTCTGTTGCTCTGTTCCGGGGTGTTTCCTAGTCAGGTAGTTGATAACACCGGCTAACAAACACCTGAGTTGTCACAAGCTCATAACATCTAGCTCTTCCTTCAGGTGTGCTTTGGTGTAATGAGAATGAGCAAAGATTTCTTTTTTTTAACCTTTGTGTTTCACCCTTTCTCTTTGTTTCTTTGAATTTTGGGTGTTAAAACTCCAACTCTGTAGAGATTGTTCTGCTTCATTTAACACGTTACATACAAGGTGGAAAGTTAAATGAGAGCTCAGAAGCCAGTGACATCCATTGTGAACTTCAATGACAGTGTCAGGGGAATTGGTACTTGTCCAGGTGATGGCTGAGGTGTTGGTTTTGAATTTGTTTCTTGCTCCATTTTTGTTGGCAAGGTTCTGCAAACTCTTAAGCTAGTTTTTAGTACACCCTTGGATGTAGTTTGTTTTCCATCATGCCCCTAGGAAAGGGGCTGAATCCAACCGTTATTATTGGCAGGCCTCACACTTTGTGGCTTGATGGGAAAGCCCAGGCCTTGGAGTCTAGCATACAGATTGTGCTCCCAGTTCTAACTCTGCCTCTTAGTGGCAGTCTGCCTTTAGGCGGGTTATCTGGCTTATTCAGCCTGAGGTCCCACCTCTGTAAGATGACAGTAGCATCGTCTGTCTTGCTGAGTGGTTTTGAGGGTTTTGTGAAACCCTGTTTAGAGAGCACCTGTTCAGGGCAAGCACTCCACAGTGAAGTCCTGGCCCTCCAGGAGTTCGTGCTGGTGGGAGCAGTCAAACAAAACCCAGATGGTGAGAGCAGCTGAATAAATTGACACTTACTACACGCCAGACATTGTATTAAGCACTTCACATATGTTAACTCATTTTCCTAACAACCACAGAGGCAAGTCTGGTTACTCACATTGTGAGGAAACTGAGTCAGAGAGGCAATCCTGAAGGATCAGGATTTGAACCCAGGCCAGTTGGTTCTGGAGTCAGTGTTTTTCAAACAAGATGTTCTGCCCCCTTTCTTAAATGTCTGAACAAGACAATGAAGTCTGTGCTCAGAATCAGTATAGTTTCTGGAAGTTTTAATGGATCAAGTGCATAAGGCTTTCTCAAAAAGAATCCTATTTTCAAGCCAAACATTGAAGAGTACAAAGGTATTATTCCTCAGCTCTTTCAACTCAACTAAAAATTGCCCTAGATACAAAAATGTGTATTTTGTTATGGATCAGCATATATCAAGAACATAAACGAGTAAAACTTGTGAAATTTTTATATCTCATTCAACTTCAAGTGACATCTGTTTT